GCTGAAGAAATGCTTAGATACTTCTGTATATTTTAATACTTTCAATCTCACTCTCTACTCATCATGAAGGCTGGAAATACTTGTAAAACTAAGTATGGATGAAGATATCATCAGTTTACTAATCAATCAAGATTGATATATCAATGAATAATTGAAGAATTGTATAAAACAGAAGTTTTATTCATGAATGAAAGCATGTGAATCAGTAGAATAAATGCCTGATAATATTATTAAATATCTTGATATTCTGTTCTAAGACACGGTCATGCAACAGAAAGTATTAGATTGATTACAGAGTATCTGATAGAGAAACACTTCTTTTATAACATTCATTTCTGACTTCAATATCATGATTCTAGAAGCAGATGATCAATCTTGAGAGAATTAAATAAAGATTAGCATGCTTAAGAAGACATTAACTTTCAAACTCTTACAGACTCTTATAAGTATAGACAAAGACCAAACTTATAAAGATTTCTATATACAGCTTCAGACATTGAATAATCATCTTATCAAGTGTAAGTGTATACAGAACAGTAGTAGAAGATATTACACTCTAGTCACTTATACATCTGCACTGAGAAATAATAACAATAATACAGATGTTATGAACTGAGTAGACTTGAATATCTATATATAAGTAAGAGTCTTCACTATCTGAACAGGCTTCTGAGTTTCTGAGATCACTCTCAAAGAAGTCACTGATCAATGTCAATGAGAGATGTATATTAATTATAACTGATCGGAATACATTGCTTTCAACTGTTAATCAGCTTATATATCTTCTCACTTAAGAGAAAGATCAGTGTTTTCTCACTTAAAGAATGAATCAGTGCCTGTTTGTATCAATCACATTACATTAAAGAAAGATTCAGAAGATAACTATGAGAATACTCTGATAAAACAGAGAAAAGATTAGCTTCTGTTCAAATTTATAAGCAGAAGCTTGAAGAGGTCAGATAATAATAATTTGAAGAGAAAATAATAATAAATATAATTCTTATATCTACTGTAGTATTATTCTTATTATTATTCCTCCATTATACTCATATGCAAGCGGAGCTTATGATGAGTTCTTGTGTGATGTTAAATACAGGCTAAGTGTTGATTATACAGGAGGAAATACAGGTGTTGAGACCATGTCAAGATAACAAGAACATAGGAAATACAAAGAAGTGACAATTAAATACATGTGATAATAACTTTTCATTCCAGGAACATAGAGTGATTTGTTGAAGCAATTTGTACATCTCTGTATTTATTAGAAACCTGAGGTGCTTGAGTTTCAGATTTAATGTATTCTCTGCGGGTTTCGAACCCACACGCCTTGGTTTCCCACGCCAAGGCGCTACCAGGTGGCCGCATTAATCATTCGGCTACTGGGGCTATCTACTGTAGTAGATAACATGTATAATATGAAAGTCATGATAGACAGCAGTCTATGTTATTATACAATGATTAAATCTTCAGTTATAAGACATTATAATCTTCAGTATATTCTCTTATTAAAATCCTGACTTCTTACAGAATTTAATGATTTAAAAGACATTCACACTCATTACATGATGAAACTAAATATAGATGTCAGAGAATATCAATGTGAAGATGTCTATATATATAAAGTTGATAATCTTGACTATAATTTTATGCTAGAACTTGTCTAACTATCTGAAAAAGACATCTTATTGAATGCTTAAAACAGGAGTTTAATATTCTCTAACAATGATAGAATTTATGAAGATGATATTTATAAGACTATGAACCTTACACAGATCTCTACTAATGCTTATAAGATACTCCGAAAAAGAAGTTATCAGTGAGATCACTGATAAAGTTACTGATAGCAGAATTATATATCAATCTATTCTGTCAGTCTGACTGATATTAAGAAAGCTTTAGAGAAGTTATTCTGTACTACAATAACAGATTCTCACATAAAACTCTCTCAATAATATCATGAATATCTAGATGTCTTCTGATAAGATAATATTATGAATATACTCTCTTTACAAGACTCAGAAGTGAATCACAGTATCAAGTTAGAAAATAAGAATAATAAGAACTCTGAGTCATCATGAGACTCTCTTTTTAATATGTCTCAAGATGAATTTCTTCTTCTTCAGAAGACACTTAATAATCTGTTAAATAAGAGATTTATATATATTAGTAACTCTTTCACTGCAGCTTCTATTCTCTTTGTAAAGAAATTAGATAAAGAACTCTGATTCTGTGTGAACTATTAAGATCTGAACAGATTGACAAAGAAAGATTATTATCTTCTATTTCTTATCAATGAAATTCTAGTATATATCAGATAAGCTTAATAGTTTACAAAGCTAGATATCATCACTGTATTTCATAAGATTTATATTACTAAAGAAGATGAATAACTTACAGAATTTTAAACATATTATAACCTCTTTGAATAAGTAGTCACACTCTTTAAACTGACTAATACTCTTAGTATATTTCAGAAGTATATTAACTGAGCACTCTGAGATTTCCTCAATGAGTTTGTAGCTATATATTTAGATGACATTCTCATCTTCACTGATAAATTTAGAAAGAAATATCAGAAACATATGCAGAGAGTATTACAACAATTATAAGAAGCAGAACTATCAATAGATATTAACAAGTATGATTTCAAAGTCAAGAGTACAAAATATCTAGATTTTATCATAGAAGCTGATAAGAGAATTCAAATGAATTCTGAGAAGATCTCTGTCATTCTTGAATGAAAAGCTTCATATACTGTGAAAGATGTATAAAGCTTCATCAAATTTACTAACTTCTATTGATAATTTATATGAAACTTCTCAGATATCATGAGATCACTTACAGAACTTATTAAGAAGAACTCAGTATTTCAGTGATCAGTGAATATCAAAGCTGCATTCACACAGATAAAGAGAATGTACATTAATATTTCTCTATTAATCGCATTTGATTCTTATTATAAGACAGTTGTCAAAGCTGATTTCTCTGACTATATCACAGAAGAAGCTATATTACAATATAATGATAAAGATATTCTACAATTATACATCTTCATGTCTAAGAAACTGAGTTCTGCTGAATGCAATTATGAGATCTATGATAAGAAACTTCTTACAATTATATACTATCTAGAAGAATGAGATTCTGAACTCTGAAGTGTCTTTAAATTTGAGATAATTACAGATTATAAGAATCTTAAGTATTTCACAATTATCTGTAAGCTTATCAAACATCAGATGCAATGATCTGAGCTATTAAGTTGTTTTCCTTTCCACTATACACTATCATCTCAGTAGTTACTAGTCAGAACTCAATGACAGATGCTCTCTTATAATAAGAGTAAGATATGTCTTTCAATGTAACAGACATCTCTTAAATGAACTGAGAACACTAGCTTCTAGATCTGAAGATATTAATTAATCAAGATGAAACAACTTATAATACTATATATACTTCTCTGATTAGAACACTCTCTCTCTGAACTGTCACTCACACTGATACTGACACTGACACTGATACTGATACTGGTATCTCAACTTCTTCTGAATCTACACTGAATAAATTATGACATATAACAGCTCAAACTGATGAACTTCTTCAAGTACTCACTGAAGCAGTTTATTAAGAAGCACTCTGATTTTCTTCAGAACTATGTATAAGAACTAACATCTTAGAATACTCAATCAATGACAATAACACTCTGTAGTTTCATGAATGATGTTAAGTCTCTCACTCTGAATTCTTATGCATCTGAATAATGTAAGAAATGCATTATTCATATATAATGAGTCACTCAGTTTATAAATAATTATACTGAATGATCTCTCAAGAGTTCTACTGATCTGAGATATTAAACAGCATCAGATATTTCATTTAAAACTGTAATTATTATTCTTTTATCATCTTATAAAAGAATCATAGAAAAGATCTACTGAAATCACTCAATATCTCTGATAGAATCTGATAAGATATAGCAATTAACTTCACTATTGATCTCTCTGAGAGTAAGAGTTGTAGAAACATTCTGATTATCATGAACTGATTGAGCAAAGATATAATATTGAAACCTTGTAATAAGATAAATACTGAACAAGTTATCAAAGTCTTTCTACAGAGCCTGTTCTATTGAATGCGTGAATTACTGAGATTTATAGTCTTGAATTAAGATTATTAATTCATAAGTACTCTCTGAACAAGAATCTGTCAAGTTCTCAAGATTATACACTGTTTGTTAACTGTCTATCACTCTGAGACTGATAATATATCAGAATAAATAATTCAGACTGTAAAGAACTATCTATATAAGTTCTGTAATTATTCATAGAATAATTGATATAGTCTTCTTCTACATACAGAGGTCACTATTAATGATTAAGATACTGTTTTAACAGGTGTAAGTCTTTTCTTTCTTACACATAGTTATCATATAAAAGTGTTGAATCTTCTAGAGATCACATAGTTCACACTGAATTCTCACAGTTCAATTCAGATTGCTGATAATATAGTAATGAAGCTTCAAGATATCTGCAACTGAGTAAAAGCCTTCATGATGAGTGTTAAACAAGATCAAGAAAATTGAATTAATATTTATTAAGATTCTGCTGAGTAATATAAGATAGAAGACCTGATGTGATTGAATCTTAAGAATATATAAATCACCCACTCATCGCATACACTAGATTACTGCCATGCTAAGTATAAAGTAATAGAAGTTCTAGACAGTCACAACTACTGTCTTAACACATCATTAAAAATTCATAATATCTTTCATAAAATATCTTAATGCACACGAGTCTCTGTGTACAAAGATGTTATGAAGCTAAGCTTAAAACAGAAGGCTCTGCAAGATTGATTTTACAGCTTATTATTAATAATAATAATAATAATAGAAGGAATAGAACTGTAAAAACAAATAGAGATTCATTTTTCAGTGCAAAAGCACCAGCTAACTAAGTAGGGAAAAAAACAAAAAACACCCTGCCCTGCCCCACCCCGCCGGCTCATATGTCATTCTCAAGAATAGTTTGATTGATCTGAAGAAGGCTTATAATAGTTCTGAATTTGATCTTCAGAGCTGCATTCTCCTTGCACAGTGCCTTATTTTCAATATAAAGAGGTAAAATCTCAATATCATGACTGTCAACTGACTCAACACTTGTCATCTGTTTTTTCAAGACTCTCACTTCTGCATTCTCAGTCACAGAGTACTTCTTGACTGAGCTCTTCTTCTTGACTTTCTTTCTCTTTTCATTCTTCTGCTTTTTTTCTTTCACTTTGACATTCTTCTTCTCAACATTGACTATGTATAACTATTAGTTAATTGTATTGAAATTGACATATTTTATGTTGAAAAGTGACTCACTTCTATGATAAGAGCAGTGACTTTCAGTGTCATTGTAATAATAACTGATACAAGCTTCATAGCACTGATTCAGAGTGCTGATGCAGATGATAAAAAAGCCTTCTTCTCTGACACAGTGACTGCAGAGAACTGCAAAAACAGTGTCACAGAATTATAGAAGAAGAGCTTTATAATTTGTATTGATTTTTATATTAATCTGATAACTCTTCTGTAAGACTGACTTCTGAGTATAGAATAATTTAATGAGAGTCTGTAGCTTCTTTGACAGCTTCTCAGGCATTCTTTCAGCCAAATGAGTCAACAGTTAACTTGATAGTCTAGGACTAGCAGACGCAGCAGGGGCAGGCGCAGGCGCAGAACTGAGAATAAAACTGATAGCTGTCAGCTCTGCAGACTGAACAGACTGAATAAGATTATTGAGAACTGTACTGACTGTCAGAATTGCAATTTTTATCATTTTAAGAATCTCACTTACAATGAATGTGTTTCAAGGTGTTGTTTTCAGTTATAATAATAGTATTGATGATTTTTTGAACTTCTGATGAATTAATAGAGATAAATGACATGATTTCTAAAAAAAAAAAAAAAAAAAAAAAACAGCTGACAGAGATGAAAGATGAGAGATAAGATGAATTCTTCAAAGAGAAAAGAAACACTCTGAGATTTATTCACTTCTTCTCATACATGTGTTGACAGCTGCAAGAATTCAATATCTCTTATTACATAATATAATACAGGTCTTAATAACACAGGTCTCAGAAGATTCTTAATCTCTCAGATCAAAGATATTATTATATTAAATCTGAGCTGTATAGATTAATATCTGAATTGTTTCAATATCTTCTATAGACTGCTAACTACTTTTTTTCAGATTCAGTGATTATAATAGAATCAGCTGCAATAGATTCATTAAATTCAATAATTAAATTTAGTGAATCTGTGAACAGAACAGGCAGAGAGAATAATAGAACAGAGAATGAAGAACTTACAGTAATAAAGAATGAGTAAATGAGCAGATTAAATATGAACTGTGAAAAAGATGAAATAAAGAGTGAATAAAGCTATATAGAATATAAATTAGTAGAGATCTATAAAAAGAAAAGAGATATAACTTAGTTATCTGTTGACTTTAATATCTTGTATAATCAATCTTGTGTATCTGCATGCTTCTGCTCACTCTGTCATCAGGCTGATGAAATCTGAAATAATCAAAAAATTGCTTGAACAGAAGACCTTGATATGTTTTGACTTATGAAACTGCAATATATGTGAGATCAGTCTGGAATTCAGTCTTAGAAATATCAAGAACAGTCTGATCAAGTGATAATTCTTGAGATTTATAAACAGTAATGGCATATGCAACTGTAATAGAGAACTGCATGCAGCTGTAGACTTGATTAATATGAGAAAAGTCATGACAGCTGCAGAAGATAGACATAAGTTTAAGATTCTCTCATTCTAAATAAGCAGAGCTGTTATATTTATCAAAATTGATTAGCAGTGTAAATGAAGAATCTTGACAGAAATTCTTCACATCTGAACTTTATATAATATTATGAAGAGTCTCAAGAGCACTGTTAACAAGACTGCAGTCTGTTTAAATATTCTGTAGAAGTATAATTCAGCAGCTGATAAAGAGAGTAAGATTTTGATGAAGATTATCAGCCTTGTCAGAATCTAACTGAGAAGTGTCTATATCAACATTTGTGGCCTGAATATTAATAACAGGTTGTTTACAGCTTTGAATAGCATCATTATTATAAATATGAACATAATGCTTCTTTGCATAAATGTGAATTGCATTCTCAAAGACCAGGGCTTTATGAGAGATAAGAGCCTGCACATACTTTGAAAGAAACTTTTAATCACTCAGAGTTAACTGATCAAGCTGAAGATGTTTCAAGATCTTACAGAACTGACAGCTGATGACATCTTTACTTACTTATTATCAAATCACAGTAAGTTGAACGATTTTACTAAAAGTTAAGTAGATTTGACAGCTCTGATTGTCTGCTTTATGATCAATATATCTGTTATGATAGAGCAGTGTGGCGGGCTGCGCCCGATCAATTATATAGACTATTCCGTTACACTCCACAGATTCCTACCGTTCCGATTCTCGGTCGCCGACCCTCGGCTGAAAACCTACGGAATTCCTATTCTTCCGCTCTGAAGCTCCACTGCGTACACCACCGCGTACGCGTATAAATATCCATTTCAATCACTGATTCCCGCGCTTTCTCTGTTTCCTTTTCTTCTTTAATGTTTTTCACTTTGTTATATAAGACCTATATATTATACTGATCTATTCAGCGTAGGCCTCTTACACTTGAAAAACATTTATCATCTTCTTATTAAGAACAATTATTCAAGAAAAAATCTGAATGTGTAATACTGTGTAAAAAATAGAGAAATAGTCAATCAGTTAAGCAGATACTGAGTCTCTAAATAGAAGCTTGCTCATCAGTCACTCTGACCCTGTAACAAGATCTTACAAAGAGAATATCAGTGAAAGACCTGAGAGTTCTAACACAGACATATAAGATATTCATATGATTACACATCCGACAATTGATATAATCATGTCTAATGATAATATGAGAGAACTCTTGAACATGAGTATAGATGCAGTATCACAGTGACTCTGAGCAATGTTAAGATTGCAATAATAATAAATAGCTGATATACATGTAACTCAATAATGTCAATATGAAGAGATTTAACAATTATCTTAACAAGAAACTCATGCAATATCAACATCTACAGAATTGAATACAAAGTGCTGAAAGAATGCTTAAATACTCTCATATATTTTGATACTTCTGATCTCACTCTCTACTCATCATGAAGAATGAAAATGCTTATAAAACTGAGTGTAGATGAAGATGTTATCAGTTCACTAGTTAATTAAGATTGATATATCAATGAATAATTAAACAATTGCATAAAACAGAAGTTTCATTCATGAATGAAAGTATATGAATCAGTGTTGTAAATATCTGATAATATTATCAAATATCTTGATATTCTGTTCTGAGACACTGTTATGTAACAGAAAGTATTAGATTGATTACAGAGTGCTTAACAGAGAAACACTTCTCTTATAACATTATTTCTGACTTCAACATCAAGATTCTAGAAGTAGATGATTAATCTTGAGAGAATTAAATGAAGATTAGTATGCTTAAGAAGATATTAACTTTTGAACTCTTATAGATTCTTATAAGTGTAGACAAAGATTAGACTTATAAATATTTCTGTATACAACTTCAGACATTGAATAACTATCTTATCAAGCTTAAGAGTATACAGAACAGTGATAGAAGATATTACACTTATATATCTGCACTGAGAAATAACTCAGTTACTTATACATTTGTGCTGAGAAATAACAACAATGATGCAGATGCTATGAACTGAGTAGACTTAAATATCTATATATAAGTAAGAGTTTTCACTGTCTGAATAGATTTCTGAGTTTCTGAAATTATCTCTAAAGAAGTTGTTGATTATTATCAATGAGAAGTGTGTATCAACTGTAACTAATCAGAACACATTGCTTTCAACTGCTGATTAATCTATGTATCTTCTCACTCAAGAGAAAGATTGATGTCTTTTTGCTCAAGAAATGAATCAGTGTCTGTCTGCATTAATCACATTGTATTGCCAGCGTGGCCCAGTTGATAAGACTGGTAATCAAGGCCGCACACATTAGGGGTGCATGGGTTCGAATCCCACCACTGGCACCTGCTACTTCTTACCCATGAAAGCCCCCATGTAATAGAGGCTGAGCTTAATTAGTAAGGCTTGATGTGGGGTAGAACTCTCTACTGCAAGCCAAGCCACTAGTTAAGTGAGATTCTGCAAACACTCATCAGAGCTGGCATGAGATATCAATGTCTCACTATTCTACTGTGCACTCATCAAGGTTCTAACAATATAGAGCCAAGTCTAAGATAGTGATTATACACTACTTAAGTGAGTCTCTAACTAGGGCTGTCATCGGAGCCTAGCTTCTCTCTAAATACAGAGAATGATTTTGAAAATCATCTGACTAGCAGGCCTAGACGCGCATCTAGGCCCTAGGTAGAGCACCCTGATAGGCTAGAGCCTGCAAGCTCCCTGCCAAGCCCTAATACTGGCAGGAAGAACTGCAGTCATCAAGCCTATAATTAGTCCCTAACACGGGGCGAGGCCATGACAGCTGATTGATAGGCCTATGAGCATCTAATGAGGCCGAGATCAGCAACCGGAAGCTTGGTGTGTACATCATCAAGTGAGCAGTGACAGTCACTAACTAACACCTCTGGAAATTAGTGACTGGCTTGAGAGAATGAATGCGGTGATCAGTTAATTATAGAGGGTTAAATGTAATTAGCTTAAGATGCATCCTGCGGGTGACTAGCACTCATAGTATTGAAAAAGTGAATCATGAGAAGTTATCTCTCTGAAGAGAAAAGCTTGAATCTCTTATAGACTTACAAATAAGTGAACTATTAAAAGAGAAAGAATATAAATAGTATTTGAAGAGAATTTCTATAATCAATATAAAAGACTCTATTCTGATTTATTCAGATGACTCAAAAAATGAGAATCTGAATAGATTAGATGCAGACATTGCTTATACTGAAGATAATATCAATTTTATCTCAGATTTCTGAAATCTAGACTGTGAATCTAAAGTCTTTGATACTGAACTATTTATAATAGTAAAAGCTTTCAAATTCATAGAAATAAAATCTTATAAAAGAGAAAATAGTTTGAAAGAAATATGAATATTCTCTGATAGTCAAGCTGTTTTAAAAAGACTTAGAAATAGTCAGATTTATAATGATTAAATGAATCTTGAACTGATCTTAAACTCTGTTTTAAAAATTCAAAAGAGAAGAATATTAAAGCTGATAATTTATCTATACTAAGTTTCTGCTCATATGAATATTCATGACAATGAATTGACTAATTCAGCTGTAAAAAAGAGTGCAGAATTAAGTAGATTTATTCAAAAAATTATGTTCTGATCTTTTATAAAGAGAAAAATAAAAGAATCTTATTTAGATAAGTGAAATAAAAGCTGACAGAAATAAAAGAAGAGTATATATTATTCAAGATTTGAAACAAAACTCAAGTGAAAATCTTGTTTAATTAAATATAAAAAGAAAATATTCTCATCTATAATACAGCTGAAACTAGAACATGGCTATTTCAAATCTTATATACAAAGATTTGATGATAGATTTGACTCAGTAGAATACTTATTCTGCAATGTAAATGAGAATTCTGAGTATATTGTAATACACTGTGCATTATACAATAGTCTCAGAGCCAGATTGAAAGAGAAGTATGATCTAAATCAATTAAATATGAGATTCTTATTCTCAACTGAGACAGGAATTAAATACTTAATAGACTTTCTATCAGAAACTCAAGCAGCTATAAGAAAATGACTAAATTCAGAATTATCTGAATATGAAGAGGAGAAAATCAATCAGATATAGTCTGTTAAAACAGCTATACACTATCTTTTAATAATTTGTTTTATTACAGTCTCTCTTTACTTTATCTTTTT